TCCAAATCCCATAATTGGATCACTTTGCTCTCTACAAACAGCAAGTCAGGTTCCAGTACTTTATCGATAAAATAACCCCATTAGTGCACTATACTCCCCCCTCCCCGCCCCAATCTGGGAAGGCAATAGGAACTGGTTTTACATTCAGAGAGTTTACATCAAGACAACAGTACTAAGTCAGCTTAACAAATTTAAATAAACTATTGAGCCGGAGATAGCTCAGTAGTTCAGCAGGTATAGTGCTTGTCTAGCCACACAAAGGCTCTGGGTTCCTCTCCAGTACCTCAAAAAACCAAAACAAAAAAAGTATCAAAAACAGCTTTCCCAGGGCCAGGAATTTAGCTCAGTGGAGCCTCACCTGCCTCACAAGCACAAGGTCCTGAGTTAAATCCCCAGTACCAGAAAAAAAAAAAAAGCTTTCCCTAGACCAAATAAGTGTAAAAAGGCAACACTCTTCAAATTCTGTTAATAAAATATTACCTTACATTTTCTGTGAATTTGAAAGATTCTGTTAATGTTGTGGTAGCCAACATATTCAGGAAATCAATCTGGTTAGTCCAATACCTCACAGAAAAAAAGTTACAAAAGTAGTTAGAAGGAAATGTTAGGCAACCCGACTTCTTTCTGAATAGGTGTAACAAGAAAAGTTCACCTCTGCCTTTTGCATTTTTTAAGGGTTTGGATGGACAAAGGGGCAAGGTCTGGGGTCAGGAGGTACAAGCAGAAGAGCAGTGTGGCACAGGGGCTTGATGAATGGCAGACCTCATGGCCCAAATCTGCACTCAGAGCACCAGTTGTAGGAGGACTTGTGGAGGCTGCAGGTGTTTCCACTGCCCACAAGGCTGAGTCAGGCCAGCTGCATACCAGGGAGGGGCAAGGTGAGATAACTTCACAGCAACCCTATGCACAATATCTGTAGTGCTTATGACTCACCCTCAAGTCAACTGCATGCCTTCATTCACACCTGTTGACTTTTGATCAGTAATCATTAAAACGTCCTGGTGTCATCATGCAATTATACTAGAATTCATCTTGAGTCAAAGAACTACATAAGTAACTATATTAATCATAATTAGAATCAAAATTACTGTGTCAAGCTTAACAGTTTCCTGGCACTCAGTCAGGAACCCAAAGTATGAGGTGGGGAGCTCTTCAAAGTCGAGCGGTCAGGGCCTGGGATGTAGCTCAGCAGTGAAACACCTGCCTGGCAGGTGCAAGGTCCTGAGTTCGATCCCCAGTACCGAAAAAAAAACAACAAAGTCTAGCAGTCTCTCACACTATTTCCAAGAGACTAACACGAAACCTGCTCCAACCTTGTGAAACTTCAGTCCCAGGCCAAGGGAACGACTCTGTCCTGTGGGGAAAGGAAAAGTGAGGAGAAGCAGTGAAGGAGTTGTTGGCATTCTCTTCTCTGTCCCAGCCTCCTGGGCCATGGTCCGACCACATACGATCTCAGAACCAGGACAGGGGTCAGGGTGTTACGGTTCCATGTGGCCCATGCTCAGGATAACAAGGTTAATGTGAAGTGGGAAGAATGCACCTTCATCTTTGTGCCTTCAACCTTGAGGAAGGAGGTGCAACAGGGGTTCTTAAGGACAGCTTATTCATAATCATGTCTGAAGCTCAATAAATGAGTTTTCAATAAATTGTACAGCAGCGTATGGCTAAAGAGAGAATTGTTTAACTACAAAGATAATGTTTCCCTAGGCTTTCAAATGACTTATTTAATAAAAGCACATAAGAAATATAATGCAAGAGGGACTTGACAGGGAGACTTGAAATTTGTTTCAAAATATGGACCTCATTAAGTAAAACAAATAGAAGGACTGTGTGCATGAGTGTGTACAGAAAATAAATGCAACTGTTTTCCCTGTCTGGCCAATCTCTGCCAGCTGCTCATCAAAACCTATAATGAGGACTGTGTCACCCAGACATGTGAGAATCACACCCGCAGAGCTGGGGCCCAGTCCTGCCCAAAATCTTCACCTATACGGCCCGCTCCACGCAGACTATGGGAGCACTGGCACCTTTGGGAACAGAAACACATTCCCCAGAAGACAGACCTTGCACCAGCCAGGAACACGATGCTCGGTGCATTTCATCAGCCTCTCAGCGGTCCAGGATGGTGACACTGGTTCTCTGAGGACCGCAAACAACCAGTCTGCATCTGCAGGTACACACCCACAAGTCCCAGCTACCCCAGGCATGGAGTCAGAATGGAAGCAGAGGTGCCCGGCAGGCATAGTTGTGGGACTAAAGGGTGAACTCATCACAGACCAGAGCCGACATCAGATCTCACCTTGTCCTCTGCTTATGCACTTAGAGTTTATCACAGCAGCCTGTGAGACTGGACTACACCTTCCTTTCATCTCTGGCTCCCAGGACAGCCTTAGATAGTACTGTGCTCAATAACTGTAAGAGTCAATTTCACAGGCTGAAAGGAAGTGCAGCCACTCTGAATGAAATACAACACACTTCAAAGGGACCAGCCTTACTCTGAACCAGTATGATTTATATTTTTTCCTCCTGTTCACTTCCACTCTGTTCTGGAGTTTCCATGAGAAAGACCAGGGTCAAAAAATAGATCATCCAGGCTGGGGATGTAGCTCAGCAGTGCCACAGCTGCCTGGCAAGTGCAAGGTCCTGAGTTCCATCCCCAGTACCAGAAAAAAAAAGAAAATAGAACAAGCAGATGTATGACAACAGTAATAATAACCCAGCACATAAAAGTGTTCATAAAATCTTTAAAAAACCCTACACCTCTGCTACTGAACACCCTCACCTAGTGATTTTTTAAATCCCTTTAACCTTGAAATACCTTGTACCTTCTTAAATTCATGGCCCAAGACATGTACCACAACCACCTCAATACTGTATATAGGGCCCACAAAATTCACTCAAGTCTCACCAAGTGCAACAGAAAACTGGCAACAAAGTTTGTTCTTTCCCTAAATCATAAGGACATACATTTTAAAATGTACCCAGAGAAGTTAAAAATTGGTAGATCTGCTATATCTGAAAGTATCTGACAAAAAAAAGATCATATATAATCATAAATATCCAGGTTAAGCTGAGCATGGTGGTACATGCCTATAATCCCAACACTCAGGAGGCTGAGGCAGGAGAATTGCCACAAGTTGGAGGCCAGCCTGGACTACTTGGTGAGACCCCCGTATCAAGAAAAACAAAAAAAAAAGAAATATCCAGATTGATAAATATGTGATTGGTAAGAATACACCAGGGAGCTCTTCTAGCTGCTTCAGTCATTTGAAGAACCAATTACACAAAAAATGCACAGATCTTTTCAGTTAAATACTTCGTTATTGCCAAAACTCATCAGTACACAATTTCTTTTTTTTTTTTTTTTTTTGGTACTGGGGATCGAACTTGGGTCCTTGCGCTTGCACAGCAGGTGACGAAACCACTGAGCTAAATCCCCGGCCCAGTACACAATTTCTATAACTCCTTTTAGACCAACCTCCAAAGATAAATTCCTTCCAGTGAAGTGTCTGACAGTTTTACCATTAGTATGTGTGTGTGTAACCCTAAACAAGATGGGCACAAAACTTTCTACAGTTTTTGAAAAGCACATAGACACTTATCCTGTTCCTTAATTCTAGTAATGTATTTCTTCCTTAGTGCTTGGCTATCACTCCTACAGCATCCTACTCCCTTATGAACCCAGAATCTTAAACATTCTTAGAATTCTTGCCCTAAGTGAAAGAGCTCCTTAAAGGCAAAGCACAGAAAAGACAGGGACTGTGGTTAGCTTGGTTGATTGGTTCGCTTACTTCTACCAAAAGCTAATAGGTATGATATGAGAAAAGGGGATATCATGGTCAAACAAGTAGAGGAAACACTACATTAAATAAAATTAAACATGCTTCTTTATTGTAGGACTTCTGAACCTTTGTCACTATGCAACAGTACCCTCCAAAAAGAAGGGAGGATATGATGGCTCCTGAGCTTATTTCACTACACGGTCTGCTGTTGCTGCTGCTGGTGTTGTCGTCGTCGTCGTCGTCGTCGTCGTCGTCGTCGTCGTCGTCATTGTTGTTGTTGTTTTGAGGGGATTTTTGGTGCTGAGGATTGAAACCAAGGCCTCCTATATACTAAGCATGCCATACCCTCAGCCAAGAGGTTTAAATTTCATGTACAATATTACACATTAGCTTTCAAAGTAAGGCATATTTTAAGGGACACATCTGAGAACCCCAAGTCAGGAGTTATGGTGCTAACAAAACCTCAGTTACAGCTAATTTGCAGGCTCTCCCACCACTCCCGCTCTGACTGGACATGGTTCACATGGTCCCCTAAGGGCTTCTGTTTTGGAGGTGTGGCCCCAACGTGGTAGGACTGCAGTGGTGTAGACCTTTACCAAGTGGGACCCAGAGAGAGGCCCTGGGTCAGTTGAGGGTGCTGCCCTCAGTAACCCCTGAAACCCTACAGTGCTTCTTGCAAATACGGGCTGTTAGAAAAGCTTGAGGCTGACCTGAGCCACTCCTTGCTTCCTGCCTCGCCACGTGATCCTGCCACCCTGAGGTACTCCCCAGAGTGGGACAGTTGTGGGTGCCTGGAATCTCCAGAGCTGTGAGCTAAATAAATTTCTTCTGGCATGAGTAGGCTCCTCAGGTACTTTGTTATAGGGATGAAAAGCTACCAGAGCACCTCCCTGTTCTTAAACCACTGACTGCACCTTTAGAACCATGGGCAACCATATTCAGATGCATGCACTTAGTATATGTGCTGCTAAAGTAAGCACAGAATGCATGTGCTTAGAAAGCAAAGCCACACCTGTAAGAACACATGGTGACCCAACACATATGATCATCTTCATGACAAAAGCCAATCAAAATTCTGGCAGCTGTTACTCTGAATGAAGGATAGACTCTAATGATCCAAGGCCTGTAGAAGCACTTGTCTCTGCATATTTCAAGTTCAAATGGTAAGAGCTACTCAATTTGAGTGTTTTAACAATCATAATGAAAAGGAAGACTTACCAACAGAAGCTGAATTTTTAAGCACCGACTCCTTTGGGGCACCTTTTTCAATTCGGAGTGTGGCCCACTGTTCAAAGAAACAATATTAATTTAAACTCCTGAAGACACAATGGAAAATACTTAAACCATGCTCATACAGAAGTAAAATGAAGCATTAAATCCTGGCACTTTTTGCATTCATGAGCCACTCTAGTTAATCTGGCAATATGTCATTACAAGTCCTAGGTGTACCCTTATTTTAGTCACTGATGAAGCCCCCGTACATACAGGAAAAATCTTGGTCCTGTCTAAATCTTCTTGAATACATCTGTGCCCTAGTAAATTACTCCTTGAGGGCTGTGAGGTGCGGTGGGCAGGAGAACAACTTATGGCACCAAGAAGATCTGGGCTTGAGGGTTGGAGGTATAGCTCCAGGCAATGGAGCCAGGCAAGGGCCAGAGTTTGATCCCCAGCACTGTTACAAAGGCCTCAGTTTTCTCATCCTAAAAGGAGGATAATCATTCCCATCTCACTGGGTTGTTGTCAAGATTAAGTGACATAACACATGCAAAGACCTAAATACAGGGCACAAAGCATAACAGCTATTTTCATAGCAAACTAGTCATTCAAGTGTGAGATACACTTAAAGAGACATGAGACATAAGCTTGCGGAAGGCTAAGGATGTTGCTTGGTGGTAGAGTGCCTCCCTAACATACATGAGGCCCTGGGTTTGATCCTCAGCACTCCAAAGAAAAGAAAGAACCACCAGACTTGGAAAGCTGGGAATAATCAATGAAATGAATACCTAAAGAAAACCATCCCTCCCCCGGCTGCTTATCTACTAAGATGTCTGGGGAAAATGGCATGCTTATGAGGATCCAAAGCTTAAAAGAATTTAAAAACTGGAGAAATAACTCATTTTGCTTTGAATGTACAGAGAAGTGTAAAAAGATATACCAAGATGGGATTTAAGTTTAAGAAGGGCTGTGAGCACAGATCTGTGGTAGAGCACTTGTATAGTATGCAGAAGGCCAGGTTTCATTCCCCAGAGCCACCACCTGCCAAAAAAACACATTTACAATGATGTCTACAGGGTTACAATTCAGAAGCAAGCAATGTCTAAACTGACTGATTTGAGAAGGAAGAAAAAGGTAAAAGCATTGTAGTAATTATAATACACACCCAGGAAGGGGCAAAAGAGTTATTATTAAGTAAAGACAAAAACCTCAGTTATTTCGAGGTTCAGATCACGTGTATTAACTGGAGGGATTAAAACCTTTTGTCAAATAAATAAGAAAACACTGAGAGAGAATGAATAGCCTAAAACCTATGTGTGAAGGTCAAGCACTGTGGTGTGGCCAGGCTGCTACAACCCCTGCACAACAACCCCAAAGCCAAGTGGGCACCGCCAGGCACATAGGCCGACCTATAAATAGAGGCCTAATCTTCTCAGTTCTAATCTGGCTGCATCCTTTTCTACTCATGCTGACTGACTTACTGCAAGACTTCTCAAACTCTGACTCCTGTCTTTTCTCCTCGGAGATAAAGGTTAATTTCTGTGCTTTTTCACTTAAATCTTTGGTGCTCATTAGTATATATAAGTAAATCAAAGATAGGTCAAAATAAAATTTTGTAAACAATCAATTATTATTAATCTCATAACTCACTTTTCTATCATGAGCATAAGATTTAAAATAAATGTAGCTATCTTAGACTAGAACAATTATCCCATGCTCACATACAATGGATAATACTGGTGTTTTGTGGCAGTTAATAGCTGTTATACCCCACCCCTGAAATTCAAACATTGAAGCTGAAACTCCCAGTACTTCCACAAGTACGTACATCCCTTATATTGGGATTTAAGGTCTTTAAAGAGATGGTTAATTTAACATAAAGCTCTTAAGAGTGGCCCTCTACTCCTATCTGACTGGTGTCTTGTAAAAGAGGAAATCTGGGTGCCCAGACACCACAGATGTGTGTGCACAGAAGAAAGATCACATGTCAACCACATGTAAGCCCAAGAATGAGGCCTCAGTATGAAGCCAAGCCTGTCCACACCCTGACCTTGGACTCCAGCCCTCAGGAATTGTGAGCAAACACAGCTCTGCTGCGTAAGCAGTCCAGGCTGTGGGACTTTGTTTTGGCAGCCCTAGCCAAGCAGACAGTGACATCCTCATGGGGAAAGTGACACTGCTCCCCAAGCGAGGCACACTGCAGTCTCAGAAGGCATCAGTTCTCCTGAGAGGGAAGCACCAGTAATTTGCCCTGCAAAATGCAGTGCCCCCGCTCAAGACACGCAGATGGTAAAGTTGGAAGAGCAGCTGAGCAATTCCTATGGGGATCCCAGAACACACTTCTCTCCTGCAGTTTCCGCTGCACTGACAGGGAAGCTGTGCCTGTGGCCTGGAACCAGCCCAAGAGATGCACCAGAAGTGCAAGCCTGCAGCTTCCTGGCAGGAGACATTAACCTCCTCTGGATCCACTTCATCATCTCTAGATGGGGACAAGAAGGGTGGCTGAGAAAAATGAAGAGAACTTCTCTGATGCCCAACATATAGTAGGGCACCCGGTAAAACAAGGATGGCTTCCTCCAGGGTTAGTGTTCCAGATGCCAAGGGGAGAGACCAGCTCGCTTTTAGTCTGGTGAATTACTCTAGTTGGTGGGATTATCTCAGACCCAGAGTCTAACCTTCGATTTCACTAAGATTTAATTTCTGTCCACCTAGAGTTAGAGACTTTCAGAGATGAGCTTGTACTCAATCATGAGTTTAATTCCCCTCAAGAAAACCAATTTTCCAATGGTAGTGGGAGACATGCCCTGGAGCCATCAGGCAGGTGTCCATGTAAGGAAAACCTCTTGCTGAGTAAGGAAGCCAAAGGGATGCTTGGCGTACATGGAATTGGATTGGAGATCCCTTTGGGGCACCATCGCTTGTTGATCATGGCAGCCCGGAGTTCCTATGTTTGTCTTTCGTTACATTCCAGTCCTAAGAACACCCTTTGCGCTTTTTAAATCAGAACTGGATAGTTCTCAAAGTTCTTCGGTTATAATTTACATATCATGCATACTCTAGTTTATTTACTTTTACAAATTCCATTATCAATGAGTGGCTTTTTAATGATCATAAACTCAAACTGGAGGTTGAGCTGTGCATATAGCAAACTTTCTGAAGAGCTGACCATAGTAATTTTTACTGTCAAGAGGCTCCCCAAGCTGTATGCTTTTCTCTGTCCCCTTTTTAGAAAAATTAGAAAAAAGAACTGATGGAGTGGAAGGAAGGAAATGATACATAAAATAAAAATTATCTAATCTAACCAGATAATACAGACAATGGACACATAGCAAGGATTATTTTTTCAACACTATTGAAGAGTAAAAGCACAAACAGGTTCCTCCAAATTTCTGACTTTGTTTTGTGCCCTGAGACAGATCACTTAGGATCTCAGCCTTGGTTTCTACCCACTTATAGGGATCTGCTTCACTGGGTTATTCTATAGATTAAATGAGGAGGGTAAATGAAAGCACTTGCTACTTTTTTTTTTTTTTTTTTTTTTTTTGATGCCTGAGATCGAACACAGGACCTTGCACTTTCAAGGCAGGTGGCAGAACCACTGAGCTAAATCCCCGGCCCCTTTGTTTTTTGTTTTTGAGACAAGGTATTCCTAGGTAGTCTAGGCTGGTCTCAAATTTGGGATACTCGGTAAGTGCTGGCTGGGATCACAGTTTGCCCACCAGGCCCTGCTTGGGACACTCTTCATTACTGTTTTATGTATTTGTTCATGTGAGGCTATGATTTCACCTATCTTCAGATCTATGCTATGTCAGCACCTTCTATTAGCAGATTCTTTTTACCTCTTATATGTTATCCCTTTCCTTTTCTCTCTCCTCACCCACCCTTAGTTTTTTGTCTTTTTAAATAGGAATGTCATAATTCTCAGGTAGTTACCAATACCTCCGTATGATACTTCCTCCAGTATTGGAAGTATAATAAATGTGCTGGAAGGCCCTGCTGTGTGTGAAAGTAATAATAAAGAAAAGCTGCCAAAGCCATTGTGGTTTTCATTTAACTCCACAATGGCTCTCTAAGATGGGATCTAACATTGCTGACACTGAAAGACTTGGGGATAGGGACTCAGAGGATGTTTGTCCGGGCAGTGGTGTACCACAGTCTGTGGTGGGATTAGGATTTTACTTTGAATCTGGAGCCTCAGTTCCTAGTCTGCCCAGAGACTTTCCTCTTGCTATAGATGGTGGCCAGGTGCTGAGTAAAGCTTTCAATTTGAATTTTTATACAAAGGGGGACAGCATGGGTGTGATGTACCTTCATCAGGTCTCACTGGGGTGGGAACACACTGCCAGGAGAACACTTGGATCATTTCAGAGTTCTGAGGACAGGGAGCACAGGCTAAGAGGACCAGCTCTATGGCCAGGAATTCCAAAGGCCTGACAGTAGGAAGCTCTAAGAAAACAAAGTGTGACTGCACTCAGGATGGAATAGCAGTCAGAAAAGTCCAACTCAGGGAAACATCTCCCAAGTAGTAACAGCAGAACTTCAAAATATGATGGCTGACCAAGTGCCAACAACTGGAAACTGGATACAGAAGATGTGGCTTTTTTATAAAATGGAGTAAAGCCATAAAGAATGAGAAACTAGAGACATTTATAGCTAAATGGATGCATATTGAGGCCACACTCTTAAATGAAATAAATAGGACACACATGTGTAAATACCGAATAGTTTCTCTAGTGTGAGAAACTGATAGTGTAAATAAGGATTAAAACGAATAATTGATAATGTGAAATAGGAAGAAAAGGTCCAAAGGGGTAGGGGTGGTGGGAGGGGAAGGGGAAAGGAAAGAAGGGAAAGGAAAAATTATGAGAAAAGAAAAAAAATGGAAACAAAGTCTATGTAAATAGGGAAGGGTGGAAGGGGTGAAGGGCACACAGGTAATGGGGAAAAAATAAGAACCAAGATACATAATGTACAGGTACAAGCACCCAATGATAAATGTAAATGTATTGTATACCTAAAATGTACCAATAAAAGAATTTAAAGGAAAAAAAAAGAAATGGCAAGGCAAAACTAAATAAAGTTAAGAATAATTTTCCTGGGCTGGGGATTTAGCTCAGTGGTTTCGCTGCCTGCTGTGCAAGCGCAAGGACCCGAGTTCGATCCCCGGTACCAAAAAAAAAGAAAAAGAAAAAGAATAATTTTCCTACTCCCTTAAAAAGAAAATATGATGGCTGAGGATGAAAAATCAAATATGACTGCAAGGACTCAGCAAAGAAATAGCCACGAAAAGAAGGTTCGTGGAGTAAAACAGGACATCACCAGATGGATGTCTGAAACCACCCCAATATTGAGGAAGAATGGATAAAGTCCTACAGACAGACGGAAAATGAGGGCAGAAGAACAGGAGCCCATATCAGAGGCAGGAACTAGAGAAAGATGGTAGACTGAGTAATCATGCCTTTTTTTTAATAGCCGAAAACATAGATAAGACATAACACCTAAGATATCCAGGCATCTGTCTAAGATGAATGTATCGGAATAGGTGTTATTGTTACTCCTATCCTACAGATAAGTAAAATGAACAACAAGTAGGTGACCTGCATAAGGACACACATATTGAGAACCACAGCTGGGATTTGGGTACCAAATCTAAACAAATCCATACAGTCTGCTGGGCCTCTCAGTTGACTCCTGTTTCCACGTTAACACAATCAAACCACTGATTTCTGAGACTAAGCTTCCTTGACTGTAATGGGCATAGCATTTGCCCTCCCTACCCCTCAGGCCTTTTGAAACTTAACAAGAACCCTGCGAGGGTTAGCCAGGTTAACAGAGCTGCCTGTAAGGGTAAGCCACGATTAACAGAGCAAGGCTAAACTGTTCCCTACAGAGTCTTCCATCTAACACTGTGCTCCACACAATTTGGAAACAAAAGGCAGCAGAGGTGAGGTAAAAGTGTACACCTTTGCATGGCATTTCCAGTGTCAATGATTAGATAAACTTTCCCCGACTTCACTAAAATAAAATCAGATTTCCTTCTGATACACTGCAATTGGCTTCTTATCTTGGGAATAAAGCAGAGCATGTTGCCTTTCCGAACGAGGACGCCCAGTGCCCCAAGGACCTCTGGAACCTGGGTTGTAAACTAAGGGCACTGAAGGGACCACGCAGGGCTCTCGGGCTATGAGCGAGTGCGCAGACGCCAAAGGCTGTCGCGGGCTTCAGCTAATCAGTAAGAGAACGCCGACGTCAGGCCTAGGGTGCAGTGGTCCCACAAGTTGGTCCGGTCGTCTCAACCGGGGAGATGTCGCGGATGAGATGGGGACACCGACCTCTGGGCCGCTGCCTTCTGGACCCAGCTCTGCCAGGCTCGGCTGTCGCAGCCCGGGCCCCGCCCCCTCCCCGCCCCCTCCCCGCCGCCCTGGTCCACGCCCCCGGCCCTCACCTCCAGAGTCTTCACCAGGATCCTCATGTAGACCTCAGAGATGCCCAGCGACACCCCGAAGGCCGAGGGCAGCAGGATGAGGCCGAGCACCAGCGTCAGCCAGGTGGAGAGCACCTTGGCGACCAGGTCCGCGCCCTCCATGCTCGCCCCGCGGAGCACACGCGCAACTGATGTCGCCTGTTCCCAGGTGGCAGAACCGGGCTCGCGCGACCTCTGCAGCTGGAGAGGAAGGAAAACTGAGAACCGTGCGACCGCCTCCTTCCTTCCTTCCTCCCCAGCTCCCCACGAAGCAGCGTAGCCCAGGGAGCGCAGAGCCAGTGATTCACGGCGCCCGGAGCCAGGAGCCAGAAGCCCGCGGCGCTCGCCCCGCCCCAAGAGCCTATTTCAGCACCGCCCCCGCACCGCACCGCCTGTGGCCCCGCCCCCCCGACTCAGAGCCCGCTCCCAGCCGAAGGGGTCGCCAATCCCCCCCCCACGGAAATCCGGCCCCGTCCCTCCCGTGAGGCTCCGCCCACCCCGCCTCCAAGCCACCGCCCATCCCAGAGCTGAGGGCAAAGCTCGCATCCACTCGCGCTTTTGGCACGCTGAAGGGACTACGAGCGAGCGCAGCGAAGAAAATCCGACAGCCCGGTCCACAGCCCCTCGTGGTAGCACTCATCCCTAGTCGGACCAGCAGTAAGGTTCGGGGTTGTCTGGCTGGAAAGACGCGGAGGGCCACAGGACCGGATTGAAACCCTAGGAACTGCAGTGGGCAAAGCCAGGCGTGCGGAGGGGCCGAGGAAGCGGCAGCCCTGGTGCAGAGCCGGGCGCTTCTCCCTGCGCCTCGCCGGGTCCGATGACAACCCCTCCTCGGCGGGGACAAGTCGAGTTCTAGTAACCCTGGGACGGTGCGGTCGCCAGGTCACAGCGGGCAGTGGGGAAAGACGGCCCGGAAGCTGTGCCCCCGCCCGGGGAGAGGGGTCCTGCATGAGTGCCCGTGCAACACAAAACCCCGAGATGGTTTAGCCCTGGACCGTACCCTCTACGTCCTGCAGCTTCAGTGACCGAAGAGCCCCGCGTGACTGTGGCGAAGGTTCCTGGCCAAGGACACGCGCGGACAGTCTGTGTCTCTCACTCTTCGGTGCTTATGGCTCATAAGTAAACTGCGCGGGCTGGTTTTGATTTGGGGTCTTGTTTGAGAAATGCTTTTTTTTTTTTTTTGCTTTTAATGAGTTAATAACTTCCCCCCCCATTACATTTATTGGTACATTTTCGATATAAAATACAGTTACATTCATCATTGGGATCTTGTTCCTTTACATGAGTATCTTGGTTCTTCCCCCCCCTTCCCTGCCCTCCCTTCACCCCCTCCACCCTTCCCTATTTGCAAAGACTTTGCTTCCCTTTTTTTCCTTTTCTCATATTTTTTCTTTTCCCTTTTTTCCTTTCCCCTACCCCACCTACTTCCCCTCCTCCTTTAGACCTTTTCTTCCTGTTACATAATATCAATTATACATTTTTTAAATTACAATATCAAGATCTAGGAGACATTACCACAGATTTTAGAGAATTTAAAAGGATATAGAAAGCATATTTCAAAAATCTGTTTTGAAATACATTTGACAACTTCTAAGAAGTAGCTTGGAAGACAAATTAATGAAACTAACTCTGGAGGAAATATAAAATTTGAATAGCACCTATTAAAGAAAGTATATTCCCAGCTTGAAAACCTACCTTTATGACAACAGCAGGCTCATATACATTTTAACGATAAATTATATCAAGCAATTAAAGCAGAAAAAAAAAGGAACACTTCTCCCCTCATTTTAGGAAATCAACATTGTGCTAATTCTAAAACTGGATAAAGATAATAGAAGAAAAAAGTATGAACATAGATAGAAATTTGTTTAACAAATTTGTTTTTTGACTCCTGATTTTAATGCAGATAAGAGAATTCCAGAAAGTGTTTCCCAGGGTTTGGATAGGCTGATGAATGCACATTTTTTCTTTAGGTCAATGGAGCAGTGTGCCCCCCCCCCGCCCCCTGCCGCCACACTTTGGTGTCTCATTCCCTGAGCCCCAATTACAAACAGTGGTCTATGGCAAAAATTGCTCTGGGCTCTGTATGTAGTGTTTGACTTTCAGTCTCTTCTCTGATGCGAGTTTAAGCTTCCTTAGTAAATGAAATAGTGGGAATAGTTGTGTTCCATTTTTAGGAGATGTGGTCTTCAGGTGGATAAGGAAACTTCAAAGAAAAACCTCTTCTAGCACCTGCTGATTCCCAATTTAAAATAGCCAGGGCTGGTATGTAGCTCAGTGATAGACAAGATGCCTAGCATGCTGAGGGCCCTGGGTTCTATCCCCAGCACCCAAAATAGAATAGGACTGAACAGAACAAAATAGCACACCAAGGTGCCATATTTTGGGATGACATCCCCCGGACTCCTACACACTCTGAAGTCTGCATTAATTGCCAACACGTTTCAACAAAACCTTTGCCTTCCCTGTTTTGTGCAGGGTTTCTCCTCCTCTGGATCTTTGACAAATCGTGGTGCTTTTCTCATAGACAATACACTTCTCTGCTGTTTCTCATTCAGATCTCTCACTCCATGGGCCAGGGTCCGAACATGGAGACCCTACCAGTTGTTGAGTATGATTATGCAAGTTACCATCCAGAACTGGGGAAATAACCACAGGATGGTTCAAGGTCCTTGGCCCAGTTTTAGAAGGACCTAAGCTAAAATGTCATTGATTTCCCTAAGTTCCTAGTTTTCTTAGTGTACTAAATGACATTCTAGATCTCCAGGTATTAATGTCAGTTCAGAAACAGTATCTAATATTCCCTGAATATCTGATTATTTACCTTTTCATTGCACAGTCATAGTAAATAGTCCAGGTCCCTTTGGAGAAGACTGGGAGACAGATTAGTGGTATAAGATTTTGGCAGGCCTTAAGGAAATCAGCTTTCCTTCCAAAGGTTCTGGGTCTATAAACCGGCTCAAATTCAAGAAATTGAGAGACAATTACTCTCTGTGATTCGAATTAGACTTCTATTGATAAACTCAGAATGCTTTTATGTCTTTCGCAAAAGCAGTAGCTTTTCAGAGCTACTGCTGTGTCTGCAGTTTTTCAGAATAATGAGCTCAGTAATGCTAATGAAGTGTAATTCAAAGTGCCATATTTTGTGTCCTATGCCATACTGCAGGGTAACATGTCCCAAGCCCCAGTACAGGGACCCTGAGCTCACAGTCCTACAGGATGTGATCTCTCCACTGTCCCTTCTCCATCTGTCACACCGTCTTTTATCATCATGGTAAGAGAGACTTAAAAGGAAAGGACATGTACTTTGTACCTGTCACCAGGTGGAGGGTTGTATGGGGATTTGCTCTAGGTTCTTGGTGTCCTGAACAAAGAACTGTATAAGATACACAGAAAAGGCAGGGAAAGTGTACACTTATTGAAGGTGGAGAAGAGGTGCATTCTGCAGAGAGTGGGCAGGAGAAAAGGCTCATGGTGGCCTGAGAATAAGGGGAAGGGGTATCCCTGATTCCCAGGTTGGCTTTCCTGTCATGCAAATAATGCATCAGGACAGTTGTCCTATCAAAGCCATACTTGGCCTCTGGTCAGATTTGAACCCCCCTATGGAAAGACTCGCTTGGCTTCCGTCCTGATGTAAATGAAGGATTGAAAAGAGTGTATTCAGGTTGGACCTGCAAACAGAACTAGATTCAAATGAGGGATTGAGAATGTCACTTTCTGATTGGTTCCCTGCACAGTGTTCAGGAGTCCTGGAGCCACTTTGGGTCCTGTTCTGCACTCTCAACATCCTCTGGATTTTTAGGACTTTCAGCACATCCCATCCAGTAGCCCTGGCCACCTATCACATTCCTAAGTACTTATCAATTTTTTTTCTTAACCCTAGCCTACTCCTTCATTTTTATTACCTGTGCAGCCTCTTTCAGTCAGCATTTGAATTTGATAAACTTCAGCCCACCCGGTTAATCAGAACCTCTTCCACTGGGACTCCCTTATGCCAGCACAACAAAGCTTTAGATTTTCGGAGCTGAATGCCATGAAGAAGTAAGTTGTTGAGGCCAGGGATTTAGCTCAGTGATGCCTCACCTACCTGGCAAGCACAAGGTTCTAAGTTCCATTTTCTGTTTTTCCTCTCCCTCTCCCCCCATCCCCCTTTGTCCTGGGGATTGAACCCAGGGCCTGATGTGTTAAGCACACACTGCCAATGAGCTACATTCCAACCCTCTCTCCTTTCTTTCTTTTTCCTCCCCCTGCAGTACTAGGAGTTGAACCCAGGGCCTTTGAACTGAACTACATCCCCAGACTTTTTTCTTTTTGAGACAAGGTCTAAGTGCAATAGGGTCTCACTAAGTTGCTAAGTTGCCTGGGGTGGGTTTGAACTTACAGTCTTCCTCCTTAGCCTCCCAGAGTGCTGAGATTACAGGTGTGCATCACCATACCTGGCTATTTTTTAAAGAAAGATTACAGAAGACCAAAGTCCCCACCACTGCATTTGATACCTCTAGAAAGGGGGGGCGGGCAGGGATTTAGCTCAGCGGCAGCACACCTCCCTCACAAGTGCAAGGTCCTGAGTTTGATCTCTGGTACTGAGAAAAAAAAGAAAGGGCAGAGAGAGGATGACAAAGGGTAATAAAATTGAAGAATAATAAAATTGTTGGTAAACATTTCCACAAAAACACTGCTCAGAACCTGGGCAACTTAATGACTTTATACCTGTCTCAAAATATTTTTAAGGGCCGGGGATTTAGCTCAGTGATTTCGCCGCCTGCTTTGCAAGCACAAGGACCCGAGTTTGATCCCTGGTACCAAAAAAAAAAAAATTTTTTTTAAAGGGCCAAGGTGAATTAAAAAGCTCAGTGTAAAGACCTTGTGTTCAATCCCCAGTATGAAAAAAGGAAAAAAGAGCCGGGAATGTAGCTTATCGGTACAGCGCCTGCCTGGCAAGTGGGAGGTCTTGACTTCAATCCTGGTACCAAAAAGGGGGGAGCGGGGAGAGAAACTGGGCTGAGTATGGTGGTGCACACCTGTAATCCCAGCACTCGGGAGGCTGAGGCAAGAGGATCGCTGTGAGTTCAGGGCCAGCCTGAACTACATAGTTCAACACCATAGCAAAACCCTGTCTCAAAAAAGAAAAGAAAAGAAAGAACTGCTTCCTTAGGAAGTTTCAGTTATTTCATCCTCAGTCTATCCCTTGCGTAATCTATTGTAGCAAGTATAACTCACAGTGTTGCAGCTCTAGGTGATATAACAGAGTCAGGCAGAGAAGAATCGAGCGTACACCCT